TCCTCTTCTGACCTTCTCAGGCACCAGGCGTGCACATGGTGTACATACATTTATGCAGGCAACACTCTCATACAAATTTAAAAAAAATTGAAAGGGAAAAAAGAGGAATTCAGTGTGATGTATATCATAAGGACCAGGTTACAAAGCCACATCCAAAGTCTCACCAACATGACTAACTAAACAAGACCTGAACAATGAACAAGGAAAACACCAATAGACATGCTAACTCACAATGCCTGAATCTCAGACAAAGAACTACAGGCAACTAAGGAATTCTGAAAGCAGGTGAAATAGTCTTCCTTAGGAAAGAACACAGACATTGGCCTTGAAAACATAATAAATACAAATTACATTATATGGACTAATCAGATTGTACTCATATATTTAGGGGGGGGGACTCGCTCTCTCTCTAGGGGTCTCTCTCTCTCTCTCTCTCTCTCTCTCTCACACACACACACACACACACACACACACACACACACACACCAAGAAAAAGACCATTAACTTGAAAGAGAGCAAGGGTTGGACACATGGGAGGGTTTGGAAGGGAAGGGGGAAATGATATAATCTTAAATTATTTTTTATTTTTATTTCATGTGCATTCATGTTTTGCGAATGTATATAAGTGTGAAGGTTTTGGATACCCTGAAACTAGAGTTACATACAGGTGTGAGCCGCCATGTGGGTGCTGGGAATTGAACTCAGGTCCTCTGGAAGAGCAGACACTGAACTACTTAACCACCGAACCATCTCTCCAGCCCCTTAAAAATAAATTATTAAAAAAGACAAGGTTACAGAGCTAACTATAAACATTTTTTACAGTTTTGATTAAACTGTATATTTCTGGTATATACGATTATGAAAAACAGAATCAAAATTTCAGAAAGGCATTTGATACTTTTTTTTTAAACAATGCTATGGATCAAACCAAGGGCTTCATATGTGCTAGGCAAAGTGCTACACCACTACGCTCTATAGTGATTTTTCTTTTTCTTTTTTTTTTTTGGTTTTTCGAGACAGGGTTTCTCTGCGTAGCTTTGCGCCTTTCCTGGAGCTCACTTGGTAGCTCAGGCTGGCCTCGAACTCACAGAGATCCACCTGGCTCTGCCTCCCGAGTGCTGGGATTAAAGGCGTGCGCCACCACCGCCCGGCTAGTGATTTTTCTTTAAATGTTACTATGACATATCAGTTAGCTATAGTCACAGGAATGGTAATTAATAGTCACAAAAATAAGGAACTTGAAACTATCATTATTCCTCGTTCAGAAATTTGTGGGCCACCTTTCCTTGTCTAGCCCCACTTTATCTTGTCTACTCCAATGCTAGTAAGCTCTTCATGTTCTCTTAATGGTGGCAAAAGTATAAGAGCCAATTGTGGACATTTAAGACTCAGCACAGTGTTGTTTCTGCTCTCAAGACATTGGCTCAAACAATCCTCATGCTTAGTGCCAAAGGTAAGAAAATATCAAGAAGAGGTCTGACTGAGGTCAAGTGCCAGGTGGCATACATAACAGGGAATGGTTTAGAATGAGGACCAGAATGAGTCTGGGAAATTATAAACAAAAGCACACGTGAAGAACCTAATGAACCCTTGGGTCCCTCACATCTGGGTCCTCTGGCAGAGCAGCAGACACTGTTAACTACCGAGCCACCTCTAGCCCCTCCTTTGTTTTCCTGTAACTAAAAACATATGTTTTGGGTTGGAGATGGCTCAGTGGGAAAAATGCTTGCCACCCAAGTATGAGACTCCCACAAGTTGTCCTCTGACCTTCACGTGTGCATGTGTGCACACCTACACACAGAATAAATACAAGAATGTGAAAAAAAGTGATTCATTAAAATAGTTGTAATAGAAATTCATGCATTAGGTACTGTGATAAAGGAGGCAGAGATAATGATCTCAGATCCTGTGTAATGCACTACTTACTGTACTTGGATGTCTGACTTCTGGTACCAACACCATTTCCTAAAGCTACTCCATGCATTATGTAAGATGAGCTGTGTTGCCGTCAACTACAGTTAGAATCATATGAATAAACTAAAACACACCAGGGCAGAATATAATCCTTTAAATAGATCCAGAAAGGTTTGTTTAGACAGACTTTTGTGTGGATATGTCCCAGTCCATCCTCAGACTCCCTTCAAACTCAGTGTGTAGCTGAGGATGACCTTGAAACTAATGATCTGCTATTACAAAGTACTGGCATTATAGATTTGCTGTGTGTATGCAGAGTACTGGAATTAAAGACCTGAGCCACCATGAATAATTAACTAGAATAGTTTCTGCAATATGTTAAAAGTTTAAAAATCTAATTACTAAACCAAACTTGACTGTGAATAGTACAGACTGAATAGAACAGAGCTTGGAGGGAAAAGAACTTGCTTTCATTACTGGGTGCTGTTTTTTTTTTTTTTTTTTCCATCGATACCTTAGTTGTTGAAAACGGTTGGATAAGAAAGTTGGTAGCCAGCTGTGGTTCAGTTTCTAGCACCTATGTCATATAGTTCACAAGCTGCTACTCCCTCCATTCAGGGGCTCTGATGCCCCTTTTTGGCTGTCTGGGCACCTGCACACAGGTGGCACACACTTATAGTTTTCTGTTGTGCTGGCTTCTGGGGTCTAAACTCAAGTCTTCCTGCTTCTGTAGCGAGTGCTTTGGCCATGGACCCATCTCCCTAGACCAACAGTGAAGTCCTTTTAAAAGACAACTAGAGTACATTGTGTACATTTTACACTCAGTCCCATTAATTAGCACCTTCCTAAGTTTTTACCAAGAGCAAGTAAACAGACTTTTTAACATTACAGGAAGTTTTTGTTTTACATGGTACTGATAAGCAAACCCCCCGCCCCCCACATGGTTTCTCTGTGTAGCCCTGGCTGTCCTGGAACTTGCTCTGTAGACCAGGCTGGCCTCAAAACTCACAGCGATTCAACCACCTGCCTCCACTTCCAGAGTGCTTGGATTAAAAGTGTGTGCTGCTGCTGCTGCTGCTACCAGGCCAGAACAATTTTTTTGATTGGATTTACAAAGAGTTTTAATTAACTGGTTTGGATTTCAGTTATCATATGTTAACTGTGGTTACATAAAGTACAAACTTCATTGTCAGTTAAAAAATGACTGCATAACTGATCATGACCAGTCACATCTTTTCTTTGAGAATCTGCTGAAAGTGGTGAGTAGTTACTGTACACTGTGTTACTTTGTCTCCCGGTGATAAGCCTGTAGGACATTTTTACAAACACAGAGACAGCCAAAAGAGAAGAAAGTGCATCAAGATATAAAAATCCACCCATACTCTGGTTTTTTAGAGTTCATTCTTCTGTGAAGCACTCTTTGAATTTTTAGATAGACTGTATTAAGATGGGGTTGTATTGTTTTCTTTTCCTCCCCCCCCCCTCCCGTTTTGTTTTTCCAAGATAGGGTTTCTCTGTGTGTAGCCCTGGCTTTCCTGAAACTTTCTCGGTAGGCCAGGCTGGCCTCGAACTCAAAAAAATCTGCCTGTCTCAGCCCCCTGAGTTCTAGGATTAAAGGCGTGTGCCATCACTGCTCGGCTGATTGGGCTATATTGTAAATGCAGTCCCTGCATGGATTTCCAGAGCACATGCACATTTAAAAAATATTTCCTTAGGTAAATTTGAAACACACATATAAAAAGAAGAAACCAAGATAATATACTAGATTAAAATAGCACACTGGATTTATCATCCAACTTGATTTTAGAACATGGAAAATTTTGTTGCATCCATGCCTACTCCACCTACTTTTGCATTATTTTCCAGGTGGCTATTTCATAGCACATTTGTTCTTGTTTCCTTCTGTTACTATGATAAGGCATTCTGACCACAAGCAACTTGGTAAGGAATAGGGTTTACGTTCCAGGTCTCAATTCATCATTGAGGGAGTCAAGGCAAGAAGCAGGAGGAAGGCTGCTTCTTTCTCTGGCTTGCTTCTTACTCTCTGACTTCTTTTCAAACTGTGTTTGGCTAGCTTTGTTAGCCCAGGACCACCTGCCTAGTTATGGATGGTATCTTTACTGTGGGCTGGGCCATCCTTAATGAAGTAGTCCTCTGACAATGCCCCAATTGAGAAGCTGACAGACAAAATCAGATACAGGCAGTTGAGGTTCTTTCTTCCCAGGTGACTCTAGGTTATGTTAAGTTGGCTGTAAAAACCAAACAGCATCTCTGTTTTGCTAAATTGCTTTCTAGAAGTGTTAAGATTTTATGCTTGACAGGGATAAAAGTGAAAAACTTAAAAATGTCAGTATTCTAAGTTAGGTATGTCTATTGCGAAAGATTTTAGTTAAAGTGAATTTCCCCATACTTACACTCTAGCAGCACGTTTTAGTCACCTCATTAATATGCTTCACAGAGAATGAATGCTATGCCTATTGGGGCAACATATAGAGGAGGCATAAGTAATAGGAATACCGGCATAACAGGCAGGAATCAGGATTTCTAGCAGGACAGGACTGTTTGCTGTTCCCCTCTGGATCGTTTACATAAAGCACATTAGCAAGAGTGACCACATCAGTCAGTTACTCATCTTCATGTGTCCATGTGTGGGCCTGTACCAACATCTTCCACTCAAAAGAAGTTCTGAATCCATAGCTTGGAAAGGCAACGTAAGTTAACAGGTTGCATTTCTGGGTGGTCTTGGATCTAACAGTGAGTCCCTATTTTTTAAAAGGTGTAATTTAAAAAGAATTACTTTTATTTTGTGTATGTGAGGACACAGTGTACTGGCCTTGAACTAATAAAAACAAAGACCTGCCTGCTTCTGTCTTCTGAGTACTGGGATTAAAGGTGTGCCCCACCACCTCCCAGTCCAGAGGGCAGAAAATTTGTAGGAATTACTTCTCTCCTACTGTGTAGGCCTCAGGGATCAAACTCAGGTCCTCAGGCTTGGCTACAAGTCTTTTCCTGCTGAGCTATCTACCTTACTAGCCCTGAGTAATACAATTTTTATAAGTAAGAATTTCTGTTTGTCTTACTTGTAGCCAGAGAATGCCGGAGGAGACCTCAAGGATGGCTGTCAACACTACGAAGGAGCTGTTGTCATTCTGGATGCTGGGGCTCAGTATGGGAAGATCATCGACCGGAGAGTGCGGGAGCTCTTTGTACAGTCGGAAATCTTCCCCTTGGAAACACCAGCCTTCGCCATAAAGGAACAAGGATTTCGGTAGCCTTTGACTTTAGATTTTGGAATATTTTATGATTAGTTTACTTGAGCGTTGTGGATTTTTCTGTAAAAACCCAATATGGTTTTTAAAGAAGTTCCCTATAGCTTTGATTTGGAATTTAAAAGGAATAATTTATACTTTTAGTCAAAAAGATTACCTTGATGTCTTAATTTTTTTGTTTGTTTCAATGATGCTGGGGAGTTTACTTTGACTTTAATTATACAGCTAGTATGTTGTTTGAGTAGTTTATATTTGATATGATTTGTGTGTGGGTCAGAGTTAGGTGTGGTTCTAGTAGTCATTTGTTCATTGACCCTATAGCATTTAGTCAAAAGAAATATGGACAAATAGTTGGGTAGAGTAGCTGAAAGGGAGGAAGTATTTATATAGGAAGTCCCTTTTGTTTCCAACCCTGAATAACTGGTTGCTAAAGGACAAAACCATTCCTACGTCAAGTTGGGCTAATTCCAGTGGTTCATATCTCTTAACGGTCAAAACAGTCAAGTTAGGTGAGGCTTTTTGGTTCAGCAGCTATCTATCTATGGCTAATGCTCTGTCTTTTCCTGTGGATTAGTGCTAGATAGGTTTTTCCTAGAAGGGACTGCAGTGTCCATCCTTAATTGACTCTCAGACCTTTACAGTAGGTGAATTAAAACAAAGAAATAAAAAGGAAGGACATGACTGCTCTTAGGTATGGTGGGAGAGAAAGTTTATTATAGATACAAGGGAAAGCATAGCCAGAGGCAGAGACATCTGGGAGAGTCCAGAGTGCATATGACCCTGAGCCATGTGAGGAGAGTTGGGAGGGGGAAGAGGAAAGAGGAGCCACTGACCAAGAGGGGCAGCTGGGCCAAGAGAATGGTCAAGAAAGTAAAGAATAGACCAAAAGGGCAGATAATCAAAATGGCTTGGATCATGTAGGGAAGGGGGGAGGGGTAGCACCAACCCAGCCCCTGGGCTAGAGAAGATAGTTGGTTCTTTCCTTGGACTTTGATGACAGAAGGAATTCAGGTCACCAGGCTTGTACGGCAAGTTCTTATGGCCTTCCCAGTAGTCATTTTTCCCCCCATGACAGGGTTTCTCTGTAGACCAGGCTGGTCCAAGAACTCAAATATCCTGCCTGCCTCTGCCTTCAGAGTGCTGGGATTAAAGATGTGTGCCACCACCTATCAAGTTTTTGACAGGAGAAAACTCAGTACTTTTTAAAAAATATAATTCATTTTAATTTTATTTTCACTGGGGTTTTGCCTGCATGCATGTCTGTGAGGGTGTCAGAAGCCCCGGAACTAGTTACATACAGGTATGAGTTGCCATGTGGGTACTGTGAATTGAACCTGGGTCCTCTGGAAGAGCATCCATTGCTCTTAACCACTGTTCCAGCCCCCCAGACTCAGTATTTTTAAGCTACATCCTCAGTGTTGGTCTCTGAGAGTTCTTACTTGATCCCAAGGGCCTTTACCTCATGAACCTCCTGCCTCTTTCTTTAGTGTTGGGGATTCAGGTATATACCACCTTATCTTCATTTACCTGTTTACTACCAATGAACATCCTTTTATTTATTTTATGTGTATGGGTGCTTACCCTGCATGTGTGCACCCACGTGCATCCCTAGTGCTCCTGCATCAGATCCCTTGGGACTGAAGTTACAGATGGTTGTTAGCCATAATGTGGGTGCTGGGAATCAAACCTTGGTCCCTAGAAGAGCAGCCAGTGCTCTTAACTGCTGAGCCATCTCTCAAGTCCTCAGAGCTGCTTGCTTGCTTGCTTGCTTTTTTTTGTATTGAAAATATTTTTTTTCTTATAATAAATTCTGATCACAGTTTCCTCTTTTCCAGGTCCTCCAGCTCTCCCCGCCCCCAACTCCCATACCTTTCTCTTTCTCTCTCTTTAGGAAAAACAAAACATAAAATAATAATAATAATAAAAGAAACATAGAGACACATAGACACAAAAAAACCCTCAAAATCCATAAAAACAAAATTGGAAACTATCATATACAAGCAAAAGACCAGTAAGGTTTTAAAAAACCCAAACAAAGCAATATGAGAATAAAAGAAAAACCAAAAAACAAACAAACAAAAAAACAAACTAAAAATGCCACTGAGTTCATTTTGTACTGGCCATCTACCGCTGGGCTTGGGGCTTGTCCTTAAGTGTGGTTTGAATACCTAGTGAGACTCCAGTGGAGAAACTAAGTTTTCCTGTATAAGCAGTTGACAAATTGGAGGCAGCTTCTTGGCTAGGGGTGAGAGATAATGTCCACTTTCCCTCAGCTCTGGGACCTGAGTGGGCTCTGCGTGCTCTCACAGCCGTTGTGAGTTCATATGTGTGGCAGTCCTGTTGTGTCTGGAAAACAGTTTCCTTGGTGTCATCCATCCCCTCTTGCAATCTTTTTGCTAAGCCTCCTGAGGAGAGGTTTGATGGAGATGGAGATGTCCTGTTTTTGAATAGAGCTGACTTTCTTTTTTTCTTCCTTCCTTCCTTTTTTTTTGTTTGTTTGTAGAAGTGGCATAGATATTTTATTACTGTGACTTTTATTACTTTGATCCTTTCTGCTAGAAGTTCTATTTCACCATTGTTTTGTTCATTTTTAGAGACATAATCTCATTATGTAGCTGTGACTATCCTGGAACTTAGTATGTAAACCATGCTGGCTTTGAAACTTCAGAAATCCACTTGCCTCTCACTGCTGGGATTAAAAACATGTGTCACCACACCCAGCTTGACTGTTCTTTTAGTTAGTTTTGTATCATGAGAAACATGTTGACCACTTTTTGTTTATAACCTGTTATGTGCATGATGCATAAACGTTGTAGCAAGCAAGCAACTTTCAAAATAACAAGGGTATTATAAGACTAAGAAAGTGTGGTTAACTAGAGTTAGTGAAGCTTCTCGTAATTGGTTTAACTACTCCTGGAGTTTATCCTTTCTTGAATCTGTCTCTTTTTAAATTTTTAACATGACCAAGATTCTTACAGCCTGAAGTTGTTTAACAGACTAAAATAGACAAATGAAGGATCCTGGGCACCGTGGTTTTTGTTTTGTTAATAGGGTCTCACTATGCAGCTCTAGTGTTTATCTAATAGAAGTGAATATGGAGCTGGCAGGTTGGCTCAGCAGGTAAAGGTGCTTCCGTTCAGTCCTGATGACCTGAATTCAGTACCTGAATTCAAAATAAGGTGGAAGGAGAGAACTGACTGGGTAGGGCTAGCTTCTGGTTTCCTTAAGTACTGTGGTATTTGTGCCTCCTACCCCTGTCATGCACATGCACAAAATTCAAAAACAAAAATCTAAACATGATTGAGATCCTAGCGACCCTGATTATAAGTGCTTGCTTCCCCTGCCCCTCCTCCTGTTGTGCCAGGACCTTTTATAAGCTGAGCAAGTACTCTGCCACTGGGCAAGCACTACCACTGAGGCATAGCTTAGGCTTTAGGTGTATCTCAGAATTTTAGCTTTGTTAAGAGTTAGGTTACAGGTCTGTTCTCTAATGCTATCCCCAAATTTTTTTCTTCCAACCTTTGTATGTCACCGTACGGAATATTTTTGTATACTCAGTCCCTAAGATTACTTTATACATTTGGTTCATAATGCCCTAGCTTACAGTTTGTTTTCCCCTGCTTCTTCTTAGGTGGTACTCCATAGGCCAGTTTGGCATCCAATCATGATCTTCCTGCATTAGCTTCTCGGGTGCTGGGATTATAGACAAGCACAACTCTGCCTGCTTGTTTCTGATTGTAGCTGTTCAGAGTCATGCAGGAGTAAATGCTTAATGGCTAGCTTCTTGTGGCAGCGTGTGCCTATTATCCCAGCACTCATGAAGTGGGGAGGTGGATGAAGTTCCATGTTGGCCTTGGCAACATAGTGACACTGTCTCAAAAACCCAAATCAAAACAACCCAAATAATAATAATTAAAGTCAGCTTTAGTTTTTTGATTTTTTTCTTCCCTCTAAGGAAATATCTTTAAACATAAATTTCTCGTGATAGTCCCATTAAGTTTTTAGAGTGAACACTGAAGGCCAGATAAGCTGTGTTACTGGCTAGGTGAGGAATGTGGCCTCAGTTTGCACCTTTCCATTACTAATTCCATTCCGAAGTTAATATACTAATGTTTTGTTGCAAATTGTAACTTAGCTAAAGGGTTAACCTTTAAGAACTGGACATATGGGGCAAAATTGGACAGATGTTGAAGATATTAATTAAAGATTTACAGTTACATTCTATACTGACTCCTCTTTCAATCCACAGGGCTATTATCATATCTGGAGGACCTAATTCTGTGTATGCAGAGGATGCTCCCTGGTTTGATCCAGCAATATTTACCATTGGCAAGCCTGTTCTTGGAATTTGCTATGGCATGCAGGTACAGCTGCATTTTGAGTTTGAGAGTTTACTAAATGTTTTATTCTTATGATTTAAACTTTCTTTGTCTCTTTAAGATAATTGGGCATATTAATACAGTGTATTGATTGCTATACTATGGTGGAGTTGACCTTATAAGGAAATCTGTTTATAAGTAACTAAATTACTTAATAAACCACCATCCATCCATCTGCCTGCCTGCCTGTCTATCTATCATCTGAGATAGGGTCTCACAGTTTTACTAAACAAGATCTAAGGGAATAGAAACATAAACCAGATAAAAATTTAAAAGTTCTCCCTATAGTTGTAAGCCAAAAGATTGTCACATTATAGCATTTAAACACTGTCTTACGTGATTGTTTGGAAATAGAGCTAGAAAACATCCCTAAATAATGTATTACTATTAGTTGCATATTAGTACATTTTATGAGCCTCCTCTCCTTCCCCTCTCCTCTCCCTTTCTCCTTCTCTATCTTCCTTCCCTCTCTTTCATCTTGCTTAGGTACAGAACTTTTTGCTGCATAGTCCAAACTACCCACAAATGAGTAATCTTACTGAAGCCTATTGAGTACTATAACATTTTCACTTAAAAAAGAATCCCCTCAGGCTGGGTGGCGGTGGTGCACGTCTTTAATCCCAGCACTCGGGAGGCAGAGCCAGGCAGATCTCTGAGTTTGAGGCCAGCCTGGTCTACAGAACGAGATCCAGGACAGGCACCAAAACTACATAGAGAAAGAACCCTGTCTCCAACCCCCCTCCCCCCAAAAAAAGAATCCTCTCATCCTTCCCCCATATTAGTCAGGGTTCTCTAGAGGAACAGAACATATATACATATATAGAGAGAATTTACTAGAGTGGCTTATAGGCTATGGTCCAGCTAATCCAACAATGGCTGTCTCCCAATGGAAAGTGAGAATCCAGTGGTTGTTCAGTCCATGAGGCTGGATGTCTCAGCTGGACTTCAGTATACATCAGAATCCCAAAGGAGTAGGCTCTGACGCCAATGAATCAATAGTAGAGGTGAGCAGGCAAAGGCAGAAGTTTCTTGCTTGTCCTTTATGTTGGGTGCCAGGAGAGGGTGAGGCCCAGATTTTGTGTGCACATGTGTGGGAAAGTTCTTCAACATCAATTGATTGGGATTTAAGGTGGGTGTAATGTGTATATGTAATCTCATGATTACATCTCAGTCTTATGGTTAGGAAGATGACTTTTCATTTATATATAAAAAGCTATGTCTCGGGCTGGAAAGATAGCTCAGAGGTTAAGAGTACCGGCTGTTCTTCCAGATGTCCTGAGTTCAATTCCCGGCAACCACGTGGTGGCTCACAGGCATCTGTAATGAGATCTGGCTCCCTCTCTGGCCTGAAGGGATATATGCAGGCAGAACACTGTATACATAATAAATAAATAAATTAATTAATTAAAAAAAAAAGAAGAAGAAAAAAAGCTATGTCTCAGGACTTTTCTGAGGAAGCTTAGAAGCAGCATTCCTGGGGAAGGCATACATGATTCATAGGAATTTTCCATCAATCCAATATCCTCAAATTGTAGAAATATTAAAAGGCTCTGAAGTATGCAATGGGTGGAGATGAAAACCAAAGGTGGCATGGCAGCCATCATGTGGCTCAGCTTTGCTGGATTTTTGTCAAGCAGCTGTGCTGGCTTTATGACTTCTGCTATTCCATTCAGATATGGCTGTGCCAAATATACATACCACATAGCAGCTGGCCAGTTTTGAGGCTTATACATATTTGTCCTTTATATTATTATTACCCACCCCCACCCCCCATTATGGTTTCTCTGGATAACAGCCCTGGCAATCCTGAAACTTGTTTTGTAGACCAGGCTGGCCTCAAACTCACAGAGATCCACCGTCCTCTGACTCTAGAGTGCTGGTTTTAAAGGTGTGCTCCACCATGCCCAAATGCCCTTATATTCAACACAAGACTTTCATTGCATTGCCCTTATCTAATGTCTAGTTTTGCCTCTTGTCTGTCACTTTCTAATTCAACCATTCAGACTTGTTTTATCAAAATGGATCATATATTTTTCCTTCATGCCTGTTCGACATTTTTATAGAACTCCTGTGTTGCTGCTGCAGTTCTTACCTGCTATGGCTTTTAAAATCTCTGAGTACCTTTGCAAGTGCTTTCAAATTAAATTCTGACTTGAGGGAAATTTCTCTTTTTTCTTTGAGATGGGGGTCTCACTAGATAGCTATATGGCTGTCTTGGAGCTCAACTATGTAGACCAAGCATGGTTTGAACCTATTGAACTTCACCTGCCTCTGCCTCCAGAGTTCTGGGATTAAAGATGTGCTTCTACACCTGGCTGAAATTTCTTTTTAATGTGAATTAAAGTATAACAAATGGAAAGTCTGTCAATGTTTAATAGAAATTAACCTCAGGTCAAATTCCTTGCCAAATTTTGTTATAAATTAATGCCTCTTAATAATTTTATATATAGTAATTATAGTTACCTACATTTACTAAATACTTGTTTACTTTGATACATTCATGGTACAAGCAAAAAATTTTGAAAGCAAAGGATATAAATATTTTTATCATAAAACTTTTTGAGCCATTAACACATTCACTTACTCTTTCTTCAACAGATGATGAATAAGGTTTTTGGAGGCACTGTGCATAAAAAAAGTGTTAGAGAAGATGGAGTTTTCAATATTACTATGGATAATACGTGCTCAATATTCAGGTATTATTTTTTAATTACATTTATTTAATTTTGTGTCCACTCATACTGTTATGCCGTGGCGCGCGCGCGCGTGTGTGTGTGTGTGTGTGTGTGTGTGTGTGTGTGTCAGAGAACAGCTTGTGGGAGTTGGTTTTTGCCTTCCTTGGGCTTGTTAGCAGATGCCTTTACCAGCTCACCTATCTTTCCAATCCCATATATTTTATTAATAAACATGTATATTAAATTTTTTTTGTTATTCTATTTGTGTGTGTGTGTGTGTGTGTGCGCGCGCGCGCGCGCGTGCGAGCGCATATGCCATGGGGCGTGTGTGGTGGTCAGGATAACTGAGAGTTGGTTCTCTACTTCCACCATGTGGGTTACAGGGGTCACCCACTTCCTCTTCATAATTAAACACCATTGTTTTTAGTTTTGCACCAGTGCCCCACCTTGTCTGCTGGATTGTGCTTATTTCTAGGTGTTTTTGTGAACAGTTAGGCAATATGAATATTTTTTAGAAAGATACAAATCAGTATATATAATTATTTCTAATTAATATAAGAGATTATAGGATTTTTTATTAAATTTTTTCATTTATTTTATATACCAACCACAGCTTCCTTTCCCTCCTCACTTCTTGTTCCCTCCCCCAACCTCCAATCTACCACCCCATCCACTCCTCCATTCAGAAAGGATACGGCCTCCCATGGGAGTCAACAAAGCATCACATATCAAGTTAAGGCAGGACCAAGCTCTTCCCCCTGCATCAAGGCTGGGCAAGGCTTCCCAACATGGGGAATAGATTCTAAAAAGCCAGCTCATACACCAGGGACAGGTCCTGATCCCACTGCTAGAGGCCCCACAAACAGACCAAGCTACACAGCTGTCACCCACATGTAGAAGGCCTAAGTCAGTCCCATGCAGGCTCCCTAGCTGTAGGTCCAGAGTCCATGAGCTCCCACTAGCTCAGGTCAGCTGTCTCTGTGGGTTCCCTTGTCATTATCTTGACCAACCCCTTCCTTCCTCCTTCAACTGAACTAGAGCTTGGCCCAGTGCTTGGCTGTGGATCTCTGCATCTGCTTCCATCTGTTACTGGATGAAGGTTCTATAATGACAATTTGGGTAGTCACCAATCTGATTACAGGAGAAGGCCAGTCCAAGCACCCTCTCCACTATTGCTAGGAGGTCTTATCTGGGGTCATCCTTGTGGATTTCCTGGGAGTTTCCCTGGCACCAGGTTTCTCCTAACCCCATAATGGCCCCCTCTATCAAGATGTCTTTTTAGTTGCTCTCCCTCTCCGTTCCTCCCACAACTTGACCATCCCGATATCTCATGTTTCCATCCCCCATCCTCTCCCTCTACACCTCCTCTTCCAAGTTTACCTAGGAGATCTCATCTATTTCCCCTTCCCAGGGCAATCCATGTGTGTCCCTCTTAGACTCCTCCTTGCTACCTAACTTCTCTGGGTCTGTGGATTGTAGCATAGTTATCCTTTGCTTTGTGTCTAATATCCACTTATAAGCGAGTACATACCATGTTTGTCTTTCTGAGTCTGGGTTACCTCACTCAGGATGATATTTTCTAGTTCCATCCATTTGCCTGCAAATTTCATGATGTTATTGGTTTTTTTTTTTTTTTTTTTTTTTTTTTTTTTTTTTTTTTTTTTTTTTTTTTTACCACTGAGTAAGACTCCATGGTGTAAATGTGCCACATTTTCTTTATCCATTCTTCGGTTGAGGGGCATCTAGGTTGTTTCCAGATTCTGGCTATTTATTATGAATAATGCTGCTATGAACATAGTTGAGCAAGTGTCCTTGTAGTATGATTGAGCCTCCTTTGAGTGTATGCCCCAGAGTGGTATTGTTGGTTCTTGAGGTGGATTGATTCCCAATTTTCTGAGAAACCTCCATACTGATTTCCAAAGTGGTTATATAAGTTTGCACTTCCACCACCAGTGGAGGAGTGTTCTCCTTACACCACATCCTCTCCAACATAGTTAATGCTTCTTACTCTTAAGCTTGATTGATTGACTGGTGTGTGTGTGTGTGTGTGTGTGTGTGTGTGTGTGTGTGTGTGTGTGTTTGAATGTATTCCATGAACATGTATATCTGTTGAGACCAGAAGCAGGTGTTGGGTCTCTTGAAGCTAGAGCTATAAGTAGCTGTGAGCCATCTAATGTGGGTAATGGGAACTGAATGTGGGTCCTCTGGAAGAGAAGTAAGTGCTCTAAACCACAGAGCTGTCATTCCAGCCCCATAGCTCTTACTCTTAATCTGAAAATCTTGTTTACTGGTTTCATAATAACCTGTATTTTACATATATTTATACTGTACATATAGTTGCAGAATAACAGTATCAGTATCATTATTGATATGACTGAATTAAGTCATTATTGAAGTATCTGTTCTGAAGATAAAATCTTAGAAATGAAATGTTGAAATCAGTTTTATTACCTCTGTAATTTTTTTTGTTTTAGTGTAATTAAGAGCACCAGCTTCATATATATATTTATATATATTTATTAGCTTTAGTTTTCAAGTTTAAAGATTATTTGTTAGGTGTGTGTGTGTGTGTGTGTGTGTGTGTGTGTGCGCGCGCGCTGTATGTGGTGTTAGTGTGGGTGGCTGTACCCACATGCGTGCATATACATAGAAGCCACCGGAGGATGTTGGGCACCCTATTCTTTTGCACTCTGCCTCATTCTCTTGATCCAAGTTCTCTGACTGAACCTGGAGCTAGTCTGGCAGCCAGGAGATACCTGTGACTTTTCCTGTTTCATTAACCCACAGGATTGGGGTTCTGGGTCCACATGTGGCTGCAACTGGCTTTTTATGTGGATACTGGGGATTTGAACTTGTATCCTCATGACTGTTTTAATACAGTGAGCTATCTGTACAGCCCCTAGTTCTTAATTTTTATTAGTTGTCCCTTTTTGTTATTTAATATCCTTTATTGGCTTTATTTATAATAGAATATATATAAATTCTAACAGTGTTGCATTGCTATGAGGCATGAAAAACCTGGAGTCAGATATTGAGGGTGAAAGCTGAAAGATTAGAGAAACAGAGCAGCAACCACTAGAAACTTCTCACCTCTATGAATCCTCAGACTGAATGGAGGGCCAAGATCCTGTCTCCACCTCCCTGGGATTAAAGGCGTGTGCCACCACTGCCCAGCTCTGTTTCTCTTGTTCGATCTCATGTAACCCAGGGTGGCCTTGAATTCCTGACCTTCCTGCTTCCGCCCAAGTGCTGGGATTAAAGGTGTGTGTCACCACTGCCTGGCCTCTATGGTTAACTAGTGGCTAGCTCTACCCCCTGATCTCCAGGCAAGCTTTATTTGTCAGAACACAAACAAAATATCATACAACATTGCTACATAACTTTTACCCCCTAAATTTTCTTAATCTACCGTATAGCAAACATATTTCTAAACAAAATGGCTGTCTTAGGGGTTACTATTGCTGTGATGAAACACAGTGAGCAAAGAAACTTGGAGGGAAGAGTTTATTCAATTTAGGCTCCCACATCACTGTTTGTGAGTAAAGGAAGTCAGGACAGGAACTCAAGCAGATCAGGGACTTAGAGGCAGGAGTTGATGTAGAAGCCATGAAGGAATGCTGCTTACTGGCTTGTCTCCCTCCGTGTTGTGCAGCCTGCTTTCTTACAGAACCCAGGACAGCCAGCCCAGGGGTGGCACCATCATAACGGGCTGCATTATTATGGATTAATCTCCCCATTAGTCACTAATTAAGAAAATGCCCTAGAGGCTTGCTTCCAGCCTTCTGGAGGCGTTTTCTCAATGGAGGTCCCTCACTCTGATGACTCTACCCTGTGTCACTGTCTCTTTTTCTCAATGGAGGTTCCTCACTCTGATGACTCTACCCTGTGTCTCTGTCACGTTGACATAAAACTGCCAGGACAATGGCATATTCATCATGGTTCTCATTGAGATATTTGTGTGTAAATTTAAAAATCTTTCTTTTTTTATGTTTAGGGGCCTTCAGAAGGAAGAAATTGTTTTACTTACACATGGAGACAGTGTAGACAAAGTAGCTGATGGATTCAAGGTTGTAGCACGTTCTGGGAACATCGTGGCAGGTAAAAGTTATAAATTATGCAGATTTCACTAAATTTTTAGAGTCGTCATGATTCTGTATGAGATACTTTTAAATAAGTCTTCATTTAAAATGTTTATTTTTATTGTGTCTAAGGATCCGAGGACCACTTAAGGGTTTTTCCTCCCTCTGTTTGGATCCCACTGATTGAACTTAGTTTGCCGGGTTTGGCATCAAGTGCCTTTATCCACATGAGTCAGCTTGTGGACTCTTATTTTTTCACAGCTATTGTCAGTGTGGATCCATCATTAACCAAGGGAATTATCCCTAAGTCACATAATGCTTTAAAATACTTAAATTAAAAACAGTTGATTCATATGAATGTAGGTGTCTGTATGTGAGCCCAAGAAGGTGAGAAAGAGGTTCAAGTGGCTGCTTTCTGACTCAGGCAGGACAGCAGCAAAGGACTGTGCAGGTGAAAGCAGGTGTGTGTGTGTGTGTGTGGTTTAGGAGGAAGTTGTCACTCTGTGTGTGTGTGTGTGTCCTTCAAAGAATATATGTCAGAGGTTATTTACATGGAAAAAGCAAGCAGTAGTGAGCCTTAGTGTGATTAGTGATGCTACTGTTTTACCTAGATATTGAGAGAAGAGGTGAGGGCAGACAGAGGTCCTGAGCTGGGGCTGTAGTGAGAATGAGCAAGAGTAAGTCTGACATGAGATTAAGGTAGTGGGGTCTTTGAGTGACTGTAAGGCTTTGGCTTTTTTCCTAGGTAGGTGGTATTCTGAATAAAGGATAGGCACGATCTAATTTCAGGATTATGTTACCATGAGAAGAAAATAAACTAGGTCAAAGTACAAGCAGGAAGGCTGTGTATTCTGGTGATCAGAGGAGAAAAAGTGAAGTTTAGAGCAGGCTGGTAGAAGTGGACTAGTCACATCTTTGGATTGTGGTAATGCTCTGAATGGACAGACCAGAGGTTTGTTACTGAATTGTATAGTGATATTTTGTTTGTGCTCTAACAAATAAAGCATATCTGAAGATTAGAGGGTGGAGCTAGGCATTAGTTAACCATAGAGGTCTGGAGGTCTGTATAGACAGGAGACAGGAAGTGATATGGCTGGGTGGAGAGAGGAGTATAAGGTGGGCAGAGACAGGAGCTCTGCCCTTTTCGGTAGGAGGATTCAGAGAGGTAAGAGGTTACTTTGACTGCTTCTTTACTTCTCTGACCTTTTAGCATTTGCCCTGATATCTGATTCTGGGTTTTTATTATTAAGACCAATTAGATTTCTTGCTACAGGATTGAGTATGGTATAGCAAGTAGTAAAAGAGTCAAGTTTTAAATGCTGGATTTTTTTTTTTTTTTTTTTTTTTTTTTGCTTTAGTAACAGATGGGTAGACTTTCTATTTGCCTAATGGGAAAGAACTCATGTGCTTTAACTCAAGATGATTTATTAAACATCAAAACAAAGGTGTCACTGAATCATTGATAGTGGTTTAGCTCTGGATGATGAGTAACTATTTGCCTATTCAACTTCCCAAAAAGGAAAAATTCATAACCGTTCAAATGTTTGTAATGAAAAATTGATTTTTGTCAACAAAATGCACAAAGTTGTAACAACCGTATGTTCTGGATCATTGGGTTAGGAAGGACACAAAGGAGACATCTAGTAACCTTTTCTGGTTTCATTTAGAATTCCCCCAAATCCATCTCAGTCTGTATTATTAAAGAATCAATATTAATCTAAAAAACAAAACAAAATAAAACAAAACAAAAACCAAAGGTGTCTAGTAGGCAGTTAATACATCTTGACTTCAGAGGAGAAATCTAGCCTGCAGTTATACAGATGAGCCTAAGAATAGAATATTAGGATTATTAGAATGTGAGATCACTTAAGAGTTTATGGAGAAGACATTTAAGGGCCAAGTACTGGCAGTTTCCATATGTAGAGATAGGCCTGGAGAAGAGGGACCAGTGGTGAAGAGTAAGGAGGAGCAAACAGTGAGATAAAAGTATACCAAGAGTGCTACCCTGGAAGCCAAATAAAGGCTTTGGATCTTGACTTCCAGGCACAAGTTGGTTACTTAAGAGTTGAGGCAAATTCTTTTTTTTTTTTTTTTTTAAACAACTTATTTATCTTTATTTTATGTGCATTGGTGTATGCATGTATGTCTGTGAGGGTGTCAGATCTTAGAGTTACAGACAGTTGTTAGCTGCATGTGGGTGCTAGGAATTGAACCTGGGTCCTCTGGTAGAGCAGTTGGTGCTCTTAACCACTGAGCCTTCACTCCAGCCCCGAGTTGAGGCAAATTCTTGCTGCATGAACCATAAAATAAGGATAGTGATGCTCATGTAAAGCCCCTAGCCCAGCCCCTGTTGCTTGGCAGATGATTCGTTAAACCCTGAAGTAGGTGAAATGATATAGTAAATATCTCTAATCTGAATAACTGAAATTGCCCACGATCCAAAACTATTTGATTACTAACTTGAAATCACAAGTTGCAAGTTTTTTGAGTGCTCCCAAATGGCAAGTTGCAGTCAGAATGCAAGTACACTTAAAATACTGTGTAATTTTAGACTACTTGTCTGTGATATATATTAGTGAATTTTATGTTTGTACTTGGGTCTCATACAAAAAGTTAATACCAAAATATTTATATGTGACCAAACTTTGTCTGAGGAGACACAGCATACACTTCTACTCGCTCCAGATAGGGAATTCATAATGGACCGAAGTATGGACACCATCAAAGTCCAGTTTAGTGAACCATTGAGTTTCACTGAGGTTACAGTAATATGAGTGAGAGGTTACTTACAAGAATAGAAATGACTTAGACAGCTGCATCACCAAAGCGTCATAAAGCTGGGAACCTAGAGCACATTGCACACACAGATTGCTGGCATCTCAGTAGGTTGGAGAGTGCCTTTTGTAGGTTCCTAAATTGTTCTAAATGGCTGGCCAGACAGCTGGGCTGGTTTCTGCTTCTTCCAGGCAGCTGGTCTGGTCTCAGTCCATTTGCAGCTCAGCTCTCCCATCTTGGAGAGTGCTTTCATTGCTTGCCCTGGCAGGTCTAGTGACTCCGGTCAATTTCAGGGGCGTCCCAAAGCTGTTTTAAGTTGTTCACCTTACTGCCTACAGGGCTTCCCTGAAGAGTAGAACATTTTAATCTTGGAAACTGTTCCACCACGACACCTTAAACACTTCTGAACCCAAACATTTCTGAGTAGGGTTATTCAACCTGCATTTGTAGTTAATGGAACTCAAAAAAGAAATAATAGAAAATATTGAAAAGTTCAATGTATGAAGATTTTTTTTTTAAATGTTGGGAATTGAGGGTTGCCAAATATATGTGGAAGCCACTAGGACTGAGAACCAAAACTGAGTTGTTCTCTATATTAAATAGATAAGAAAACCAAAGTAATGATAGAGAAGTGAGAATCTAGTGAAATAATCTCTGCCCTGTACTACATCTCATTTTTTGCTGTATACTTTATAAAGATTATAGCAATGTAGGTTTACATATATATTTTCTTTCTCTGTAATTAAAAGTTGAATAAGGCATATTACATTTAACATAAGAGAGATTTTGAGGAATGGATCATGACTATTAGTTATATATTGAACAAAAATTTTGTGACTGTTTTCTCCATGAAGGTATAGCCAATGAATCTAAAAAGCTATATGGTGTACAGTTTCACCCTGAAGTTGGCCTTACAGAAAATGGGAAAGTAATACTGAAGAATTTCCTGTATGATGTAGCTGGATGCAGTGGGACCTTTACTGTGCAGAACCGAGAAATTGAATGCATTCGAGAGATCAAAGAGAGAGTAGGCACATCGAAAGTATTGGTAAGCAGTTGATCACCTGGGAGTCTACAAACTTATGTTACAAATATTAGAAACCAGAGCTGGATTGCTTAGCCTTGACAACTGACAGAATATATATATAATGTGTGTGTTACATCACCTAAGAGTCTTTTTTCAGTTACTGTACATATCTTTAATATATACAGCATTTTTAAATAATTATACAAGGTGATAGTGTTTATTTTTTGTTTGTTTTTCCTGTTTGATTTTTTTCCCCCCTCATTTACAGGTTTTACTTAGTGGTGGTGTAGATTCAACTGTTTGTACAGCTTTACTGAATCGTGCTTTGAACCAAGATCAAGTTATTGCTGTGCACATTGATAATGGCTTTATGAGAAAACGAGAAAGCCAGTCTGTTGAAGAGGCCCTCAAAAAGCTTGGAATTCAGGTCAAAGGTATTAGTTAACCATGAGATTATACCAGGCGTTATTTCTTCAAGCCTAGTTTTCCCTAGTTCACATATATAATTTTCTGTTTCAAGAAGGGTCCAATAGCTTCTTGGCCTTTTGACTAAGATCAAGTGTAGTATCAAGAAGTGTCCAATATAAAACTTAGATAACATTTACTGTTATACTAGGTTACTGAAATTGGTAAGTTACCATTTAGCATATACCATTCTATTCTCTTCTGTTTGTCTTCCTCATTCTTTCAAAATCTTCCATCTTCTCTGATTTCATAACATTACCTATGCAAGTGAGTATCTAAGCTCTTCTACAAATACAGGTTGTTTTGCACCCAAGCTCATACAGAGAATAGAGATTAAAAGTCTGTAATTAGCCAGATATGTGTGTTATGTGCACCTTCCATCCTAGCTACTTAGGAGACTTGAGGCAGGGCAATCATTTGAACCAGGAGCTTGGAATTATCTTAGGCAACATAGCTAGACTGTAGGTACCTTAGTTGGTAAAGTGCTTCCCACACGAGCATGAGAACCTGAATTTATTTTTAGGACCCATATTCAAAAGCCAGATGTGTCTGTTTGCTTATAATCCTCAAACTGGGAAGGTAGAGATAGGGTAATCCCTGTGCTTGCTGGCTAACTGGTCTGGCTGAACTAGTGAGCTCCACATTTAGTGAGAGACCCTATATTAAAAAATTGGTGGAGCATGATAGAGGAAGACACAATATCTGCATGCATAGCTGCATGCTTGCGCGCGCGCGCACACACACACACACACACACACAGTTTAAAAAAAGACAGAGATCCTCAGTTACTGTTACTCTTATTTGTTTATTTATTTACTCTTACTTTGTTTATTTGTTTGGTTTTTCGAGACAGGGTTTCTCTGTGTAACAGTCTTGGCTACCTTAGAACTCGATCTGTAGACCAGGCTGGCCTCGAACTCACAGAGACCGCTTGCCTCTGCCTCCTGAGTGCTGGGATTAAAGGTGTGCACCATCACCACCCACCAGTTTACTGTTACTTTAAAGGACAATGATGACTAATAAACTTGTTTTTTACATTAATAAACTTTATTATATTTATGGATATTTCTTATTCTCTAAAAAAGGTATAAGTAGCTACAGTTCTGGTATAGTAGACTAAAAATGCAATGTACATAGTTATATATTAACTTAATTGGAATTGATGCTACAAGGCTGAGGCTAAGGTGATGATTCCTAGATAGTGTCTTTCCTTTTTAAAGCGTGACCAACTGCAAAGGCATCAACAGGCCCAGTGACACAAGGAGAGGGAATAAGCAAATAGTAGAAGAACACTAGGTGGTCACATGCAGGTGTCTGAGGGGGGTTCTCTCGGATAAGCTAATGAAGTTTAACTTTGAAGGGCCCTCACTAGTCAGTCTCCTTCCAGAGTCCCAGCTGGGACCTAGCAGGGTCTTCACAGGACTGTATAGTTTGGGAGTTTACAACTAAGAACTTTCTCTCTCTCTCTCTCTCTTTCTCTCTCTCTCTCTCTCTCTCTCTCTCTCTCTCTCTCTCTGCAACTAGAGGTCGATAGCTTTAATTTCCTCTTTGCAGTCTAGTTGTCTCTGTTGTGTGGGGTTTATTGTAAACATTTTGAGGTCAGGCTGAGGAAGAGTTGGCCTGGAGATGCCTTTAGTTTTAGTTTAGTATTGTTTGTAGTAACCATTTTTGTATGTAGTCAAATTCTTGTTACTGCCCCATGTGCTTTAAAGGTATCTTATTATTCTGTTTTTTAAGGGAACCTTCCTGTTAGAGAAATTTTAATGACAAAAACTTGCATCAGTAGAATTTAAAGTCTGGGCTAAAGTGGGAAGGGAACCAGTAAGGAACAAGCTGATGTAGGCTGCAGAGTTCTAGGGAGGTTTAGGAAGTAGGAACATTGGATTGTGGGAGGAATGAGTCTCTGGGTGTGCCACGGGCAGGAACTATTTGAAAACATGGGAAGCAGATGGTTTTCCTTAATGCAGAGCATGCTCCTACTGTCCTGACCTGAAGAAAGCTGAGGGCTTCCTAAGAGACCTTGGACTTGCAACACTGGCACCAGTAGTTGAAGTTAGAGTACTACTCTAGAATAGAAACAGAACTCAGCTACATTAAAGGTGATTCCCTCCTTCCCTCCTGTGCTCTGTTCACCTGTACGAATGTTGTTGGTAGGCAGGAGCTTGAGGGTAACGCAATAAGTTAAGAGAAGGACCTACAGGTCTTGGATGGACCCTGATTAAAACAGCAGGCTACTTCATCATCTCGTGCTGAAGCATATCAGCAGTTATGCTCTGCTACTAGATAGTGGTCGTAGTTTCTTCCAGAATTCCTTACCTGCTTCCCATTTGCCAGTACTGGGAATTAAACCCAGGGCCTTCTACACACTAGGCAAACACTTTGCCATTGAACTAGCATGATTTTTTGGTCTTTTGTAATAATAAATACAGGGATATCCAGGTAATTGTAAATGTATAGATAGCAGTTTTTAAAGAAGCTGGTTAGTGTGCTGTTCTGTGAGGACTTTGGTTTTCTGTGGAGGAGCCACTGCATTTGCCAGTGTTAGGGCTCATCTGCATATAACAAGTGCTGACTTGTTCTATGGAACACTGAATGGAGGGAAAGCAACCAGCACCGTTGGCAGTGGTGTGCTCTCATATTTAATGCTACAGAGTTCTCTTAATAAATTCCCAAATCTGAACTCTTGGCTGGTTTATTGCTGGTTTTTGAACATATGGGCAATGTAAGGGATATCAAAGGGTCCATCTTGGTTTTCTTTCTATGCCTTGACATATTTATGATGTAAAGAAATATAATAGTTTAAAATACTTCTTACATCTCTCCCAGTGATAAATGCTGCTCATTCTTTCTACAATGGAACAACTACTCTACCAATCTCAGATGAAGACAGGACCCCACGAAAAAGAATTAGCAAAACATTAAATATGACTACAAGTCCTGAGGAGAAAAGAAAAATCATTGGTGATACTTTTGTTAAGGTATTTTTTCTTTTCTTTTTTTTTTTTTTGAGACGGGGTTTCTCTGTATCCTTGTCTGTCCTAGAACTAGCTTTGTATACCAGACTGTCCTCAAACTCACAGAGACCCACCTGCCTCTGCTGGGATTAAAGGCGTGCTGCCACACCTGGCTAAGGTACCGTTCTTTTAATGTGTGCAGTGTTTACTGTTTCATGTGAATTTTAGTGTGTTTTTATCATAATATCAACAAAATTGGCTAATTTTATTTTTTAAGATAAACGTAAAGTGGGTGGTGGCAGGGTGAGGTCTATGTCCTATTTACATCTTTTGATGTAAAAAGCGTGCATATTGCTAAGCTGGTGTTTCGATATTTAGGAATGGACCTTTCTGCTGGCACTGCTCTTCTATTGGGTTTACTAGTGGCCATATTCAGGGAGTACTGAAGAGAATGTTCACATATATTTTTGAATCATACAATGTACATATTTTCAGAAATTTGTTTTTCATGGTTTGATATTTTAATTTCCTGGTTGGTACTGCAAAGACTCAAATTTCATTAATTTTGTTAAAAAGATTGATTTCTTAGAAGACTGTTGTGTTTTTGTTGGTAACAGATTGCCAATGAAGTAATTGGAGAAATGAGTTTGAAGCCAGAGGAGGTTTTCCTTGCCCAAGGCACTTTACGGCCTGATCTAATCGAAAGTGCATCCCTTGTTGCTAGTGGCAAAGCTGAACTCATCAAAACCCACCACAATGACACGGAACTTATCAGAAAGTTGAGGGAAGAGGTAAAGGCTGTGAGAACTTTTCCATGGTGTGTGTGTGTGTGTGTGTGTGTGTGTGTGTGTGTGTGTGTGTGTGTGTGTGTGTACACAGACACAGGGCATTTCCCTTTCCCCATCCTTTCTTTCTTCTTCCCAGTACTGTACAGTTGACTAACCATCTCCACAAACTAATTCTGTTACCCCCAGAAGGAACCCAATGTATCTTGTGCTCATTAGCAGTCATTCTTCATTCTGACTGTACCCCACCCCATTTCCCCTGTCAACTCTAGACAACCACTGTCCACTAGGGTTTTTTGTTTTGTTTTATTTGTATGTGTTTTTATTTTTTGAGACATGGTCTGTATGTAGCTCTGGCTGGCCTGGAACTTGCTATGTAGATCATTTGGGCCTTAGGCTCAGCTATCTACCTGCCTCTGCCTCTCACATGCTGGGGTTAAAGGCTACTATGCCTTGCAGACCACTCATTTCTGCTTCTGTAGTTTCCCTCGTTTTAGACATCTTGTTTGTGGCCTTTTATGATTGGTTTTTTGCTTTGTTTTTAAAAAGATGGTCTCGTGTATCTCCTGCCTCTAACTTGTTATATAGCTGAGGCTGACTGGTGACTCTCTAACCTCTACCTCCTGAGTGCCATGATTTAGTATATATTTTCAAGGTTCATCTATGGTGTAATTTAATTTATTCCTTTTTATAGCCAAATAATATTTTATTGTGTATATGCGTTCACATTTTTAGTTGGTGGACGTTGCCCATTTGGGGCTATTAGAAATGATGTTATGAATATTGGTTACAAATGCTTGTAAACATGCATTTTCTTCCAGTGGATACCTGGGTATAGAATTGCTAGAGTAGCACAATGTAACGGTGCAACCCTGTAAACCCATCACTCAGGAAGTCTAGGCAGGAGGATCCAGAGTTGCATGGTCATCTTCAGCTACATACCAAGTTAAAATCCAGGATTATAGATGATCATGTTTGAAAAACAAATAATTCCTAAATCATACAATGACTCTTTAACATTTTGGTTTCCTGCCAGACTGTTGTCCAAAATGCTGAATTTATACATTACCACGGCAAAGAGTTAAAAGTTCTCATTTTCCATGTCTTATCAAGACTTATCTGTCTTTAAAAATTGTTGTATGAAACATAAAATAAATCCCATCATCTAGAATAGAATAAGAATAGTAAAAGCTCTGTAACTTGCTGTGTTTGCAGAACTGAAACTTACCCATCCATTGCCTTCCCCTTTCCTGCCCTACTGCCTGATAACCACCCTTTCACTTTAAGTTTCTATTTGACTACCTTGTATACTTGATGTGGTGGGATCGTACAAAAGTGTCTTCCCTTTCTTCTCCTTCAGGATTGTCTTGTCGTTACTAGCTTATTTCATACTTAGCCTAATGTCCTTTAGGTTTAATGTTGTGTACTGTATGATGGGATTGCCTTCTTTTCAAAGGCTAAGTAATACAACATTGCATGTGTGTACCATATTTTGTTTATTTAATTACTCATCAGTGAGCATTTGTGGTACATCCATCATTTGGATATTGTGAGTTTTGCTATGAACACAGGTATAGATACATTTAATGCTTCAAGAGCCGACTTTTAGTTCTTCAATATACATACTTAGCACTGCAGTTCTGTTTTTAATTTTCTTTTCTGGACCTTCCATGCTCTCCATAGTAGTTGCATCACTTTACTTTTTTAACCAAAAGTACCACAGGAGTTGCAGTTTTTGTACGTTCTGACCACCACGTGCTATCTTGTATTTCTCTTTGATAGCCATCCTAATAGTTGTGTTGCTGCTGATTTTGGTTATCCTTGAGAAGTGAGAGCTCTGGTTTTTTTTTTTTTTGTTCTTTGAGACAGGATTTCCATGGTTTTGAATGTGCTTTCTCCCCTTACCTTGGCTTCCCAGTACTGTTTGCGGATGTGCGCTGCCACACTTAAGCTCATTGTGGTTTGGCTCTTCATTTCCCTATAATAATGTACAGAATCTTTTCAAGTGCTATTGGCCATTTGTATATCTCGGAGAAATGTCTGTTCATATCCTTTGCGCATATACTGAGTTTTAATTTAATATGAGAATTATTTTTTCCTGGGGCTGGAGAAATGGGTCATCAGTAAGAACATTTGACTGCTTCCAGAGGACTGGAGTTCAGTTCCTAGCACCCACATGGCAGTTCACAATCCTCTGTAACTCTAGTTCCAGGGGATCTGATGGACATACAAGCGATGCATGTACATACATGCAGACAAAATACCTACTACGTAGGCGGACTTTTCCTGTCCTGACCGCTTGCTCCCAAATAACCAGCAGCCACTTCCCAAATAACTGACTTGGAGACTTAATATAAATTATAAATGTTTGGCCAAAAATAGCTCAGGCTTGTTACTAACTCTTAAAATGTAACCCATTTTTATTCATCTACGTGCTGCCCCAAGACTCATTACTTTTCTCTGTTTCATTTATGTGACTCGTTCTCCCTTTGACTGGCGACTCCTCTGACTCCTCTGACTCCTCTGACTCTGCCCTTCTTCATCCCAGCCTTCTCAGTTTGGCTTTACCACCTAACTTGATCCTGTTCACCTATTGGCCAGTCAGCTTGTTTATTTTTTACTTTTTATTTATTTTTTTTTTTTCAGGGCTGAGGAGCGAACCCAGGGCCTTGCGCTTGCTAGGCAAGCGCTCTACTGAGCTATATCCCCAACCCCTCAGCTTGTTTATTAAACCAGTCATGGGACATGGTGACATATATTCAGAGTGTACAGAAGGATTATTCCACAGCATACCTATATACATGAAATAATACGTATTTCTTCCTATCATTTTTTTGATACCATTTAGAAAAGTTTTTTTTTTTTTTTCTTCTTCTTGTTTTTTAGGCAGGGTTTCTCTGTGTAGATCAGGCTGGCCTAGAACTCATAGAGATTTTCATGTCTCTGCTTCCCAAATGTTAGGATTAAAGATGTGCACCACCATACCCAGCTCATTTGAAAAATTAAACACTAACATTATTTTTCCCAGTTGTCTTCTGTGTCCTGTGAGAAATAGATGAGAGCTGGTGGGTTTTCCCAGAATTTTTTTTTTTTTTTTTTAAAGATTGTCTTTATTTCATGTTTGGTTATTTTGTCTTCATGTATGTCTGCATCAATGAGCCATTTCTCTCTCCAGTCTCCAGCCCTCAAATCTGTTTTTCTTTATATGACTTTCAAGGCTTATACTTTAAAATGTTTTAACAAAGAATATGAATGCCACTAAAATGCTCATCTAATTCCTTCTAAGCCTCATAGGAAAAAATATTTTAAAT